TACCTTCACCAAGTTGTAGCAGGTGAGAGAGACCCGGGTTTGGCTGTCTTCCTAGCGAGTTTTCACCCTCAGGGAAGATGGAAAGTAGATAGGCAGCTGAGGACCCAACATCTGGATTGCGCGCAAACTGCCACAACATTTCCAGAGCATTCTTGGGGCATGTCTTCTTACCTACCGGCTTGGGTTTCTTCGCAGGCTTCTCGCCGCCCTTTGAAGACCTACGCTTCTGGTACGACGGCTTAGCTGAAGGGCGCTCTTCGGTGATCGCAGCAGCGTCGACTTAGTCAAGGGAGGCGGTTGAGCGGCACCAACATTAGGAGTGGCGCCGATTGTAAGCAGGGTCGGCCTAGTCGGAGCTGTGGGGTTTTGGAGGCCGAGGAAGCGAGAGCTTAGCTGAATGCAGCTTCTGCAAAAAAAAGAGAGCAACAGTTAATATGGGGCTAGGATATGATGATTTATTTTCTAGGTCGTCGACCTACCCACCTGAACTTCGCTTCGTCATACTTCTGACTTCGATCTTCTACCATTAAAATAATCTTCTTCCCGGCCTTCCTTAGTGTCCGCCTTCTTGTCGCCCTTGAAACTTTCTAATCATAACTTTGCTTCGCTTCGTTCGTACCCTCGCTGAGCTCTCTCTTGGGCTGTGAAAGCGAACTTTGGGAGAGGAGGGCTTGTGAGTCTCGACTGAAAGGAGAGGTTTGATTACATTGACATCTTCGCTATCCGATTAGTCTCCCTACGCTATTAGGCACCTTTTGTCTAGGCCTACATTACAAAAAAGTATGCCGACGATGGATGCCCTTGGGCCGTTCAACCATCAAGACAGAAGCAAGAGCGGAACAAATTTCCAATATTGGTTCTTCATTTGGGTTTTTCAGCACCAGAAATGTCCTCCACGGTTTCTGCTGGGTTGTTGGAGAGACTGAAGTGCTGGAGGAGACGAGCGTTAGAGGTAATGGGTATTACTTAAACAGCTCGTTTATTCCAATCCGAGATAAGGGTGTCATAAGAAGCATTGGGTTGAGGAGCAAGGCATTGAGTAGAGAGTTCGTGGACCCTTTGGGAGAAAAATCAAAGGTATTGGGCGAAGGACGGAGATAGTAAAACTTATTCTTCTAGTTGTGGATTTTATTCTTGGGCTGCCCAAGGAACCGGGCATTGTTGCGGGTGCATAGGCAGTATGACGTTCCTAGGGGCTTCATCCATAGGCAGTAAAAGCATAGTTCTGGGTCCAACCTGTTTAATCTAGCTCGGCATACCATTATGAAACCTACGAGGAGACTAATGGCATTGGGTGAGAAATGATTCAAGGGTAGGCGGTATAACTTACTAAGCTCTAACAGGTCCTCGCGAAGGGAAAACTTCAGCCTGGCGGCGGCCTGGTCGAGAAAGAAGGTATAGTAGTCGGGAGAAGGGTTGGTATAAGAGTTCCCATGTCGTGGGATTTTCAATGACCACCCTCGAGGAAGCTCGATCTCCTCGAAGATTTTGGAAATTCTGTCGGAAGAGTAAGAGGTTAAGGGGTTTTTAGGAGTGACTGGTTCGGCGAGGGGGGCTAAGGCTTTTCCCTTGTCATGGGTGGTAGCTGAGGACGAAGTCCTCTCCGGTGAATTAACGTCAACCGATGGCTCGCCCTGAGGCTCTGAGTTAAAGGGAGAGTAGGAGTCTAAGTTAGTTGGAAGGACGAGGCGTTCTCATGGCGATGGATTGAAGTAACAATTAAATAACATAGTAAAAAGTGATTTTGGGAATTAAAGTTTGAACTTACCGAAGAACGACATGGTTGTAGAAGCCGAGAATTGTTGATCGCCAAAGAATAGCTGGAAATGGAGATCTCCTAGCACAAGATGCGAGGGTGAAAGATGAGAGAATGGTAAGAAAAAAGAAGATGTGCTTCTAATATTTATATCCGCGGTAAAGCAAAGATCGCCTGATCAGGGACGTCGAATTTAAAATACGATGGATGGCTCAGGTAGATAGCGTGTGTCAAAAGAGTTATGGGGGTATCAGGAGAGATGAACGTGGACCGAAAATCTGGGGCGACGTGTGGTAAAGTAAATCATTATGCTCGGGGATCGATGTACATTTATTATAATAGTGTGATGTGGTAATGGTGTGTTTAGATCAGAAACCTTTCAAATTTGGAAAAAAAGTGGTTATGAGCGTATATAAGCAGAGGCGTGACGTGCACTCGCTGGGAGATGAGTTTTCATTGGCCAATCTGAAGCAGCTCGTCCAAGAAACTAGGGGCTAAATGATGTAGCTCGTGGGGCAGTTTGAGAAACAACCGGCTGGTTAAGTTAATCCGGTGAGTTACGTAACGCTATCAAGTATGAGCTCGACGATAAAGCGTGGGTCATAGGGGGGAATCCCCGGAGATAGCTCGGAGATGTAGGTGACCGAGCTATAGAAGATAAAGATGTTGCGGAAGGTAAGCTCTCAAGCCTAGGACTCTTAAATGGGATAAGGATTAAGGAATTGGTTGGGAGAGGGACTCTACAACCTAAGAATCCCATACTGATTGGGTTCTAGGTTTATAAAGGACAAGTTATTGTTTCTTAGAATTAATTTTTACGCTTAACAAAAAATAAGAACTGCTCTTTCCCTCAGAACCCTACTGACTTAAGCGTCGGAATGTTTGCGTCGGGACCCTTCCCGGCGCGTTTGCAGGTACCGACGATCAAAGAAGGGAGAACTCGGTTCGTGGAGAAGCAGTCAAGCCGTTCACGACTCTATGATCTAACATTATCACTATAACTAGTATTCGACCTGTGCATTTGCACAAATGTAAATAA